GGCTCTATTCTCAGCTTTCCAACTATTGGTCAAAGTTTTTGCTATTTTGTCGGACATTTTTGGCATGAAATTGGAGCTTGATCCCTTGGGTTGACCCTCCACAGCCCACCCTGTCCTCTTTAGAAGGGCTCCTTGGCTTTCCAGACCTTTTCGGCACGGAGTGATTATAGTGAAATGGAAGTCGCCTCAACCTCCATCATACATCCACTGGCTCCCAGATATACACTATTTTATTACTTACTTTAAGAGGCACTTCTGAAAGATTTCTGGGTTTGTGGCGGCCATTGTTAAAGTCCTTAAAAAGATTCATTTCCCTAATATTCCAGACTGATAAGGTGGCACATATGTAGCTGTTGTTTATTATTCTTATTAATCTTTTTTTTCCCTTTTGTCTTCTCTCTTGAGTTAAGTTTGTCAGAGTTAAGGTTGACAACATCTGAGAAAAAACTGTTTTTTTTTCCAGTGTGGATTGTTGAACAAGTTATTTTAATTATTTACCTTCTTATATATCCGTTTCTGTCTGCTAACTCATTATGTCTTTCGCCCTGATTTGATCCTTTTTATTTTTTATTTTTTTATTTCGTGTGGGTGTATATATGTGGGTGTATTGGGGTTTGTTCTATCCCAATTATATGTATATGTTAAATATACATTGTTAACTATATAACTATCGCTTAAACATTAGGGGGGAGAAAAATAAAAAATTGGGTTTGATCAAAGTAAGAATGAAATCACCTAAAGTCAGGATGCCTGATGCAGAAGCATCAGGAATTGATCCATTTTAAGCATTTCGGCCCAATAAGTTAAACTGGGCTTAAATTAACAGCCAGTATTTGGCTGTTGGTTCAGGAAAGGGGGGTCGGTCACGTGGTGTTTGTTTGGTCATGTGACTGTAGCTGCGTTTCCATTAACCATCAAATTGCACACATTGTAATTATGAAAATGGATTTACTAAATTGAAACACTGCAACTAAAAAAAAATATATATATATATATGTTTGTTAAAAAGTTTTCATTCTTTATTTGAGTTGGTTTCTCAATTGCATGTAAATTATTATATTCCACAAAACTGTAATAACACTTTTCTTTTTTTGCACCACATGATCTACAACTGGACCTTAATCCTTTGTAAAAAGATGAAAAAGAGGCTGAAAGTACCGTAGTTGGAAGTTGATGGTGCAGAATATTTAGATTCACCAGGGACTATTTTTACGACGCTGAGCGCTAGAGCAGTGACTGAAATCTGGATACATCCGCCGCTGCCATGTTTTCACGAGTTCTTTTAAAAACAAACGAATGAACGTGGCATTTTAATTGCTTTTTTAACTGTATGACTTTTTAACAGCAATACTGCAAATTTTTGCATTTTTGAAATTCGTAGTTTAGTTTATCCATCAAATCGTGAGAAGATTAAACACGCATTAACTGCATAGAGGAAAACAGGACAGCAGTTCAGATCAAACTAGTGAAAATACTGCTGCGCTGAAAGCATTCAGCATCCATTTCAAGTAAAAAAACTAAAACATTCAGGGTATTTCAAAGACGAGTATTTCCTGTTATGTTTTTTTTAAAGCTCAAAAGGCCTTGAACTTTTTTAGTTCTTCAAATTCACAGGATTCAAGGATTTCAGAGAGTGATGAGAAGGAAGCCTGCAGGTAATATTTGGGGGAGTGTTTCGGTTTACAGCTGGATCGGTCATCACCAGTTAGGGTTTGACCAGCGTCATGAGTTCAGAACAAAGACAGGCAGATGTTAAAGCTTTCATCCTGTTTATTCTCACAGTTAGGGAAGATTTAAGTCGACCCTCCGGTCCTGAGCTGAACTTACCTTCTCGTTCGTCAGAATCAGATGGAGGATGTCCTCTCGCTGCCTCTCGCTCTGCAGAAACAGATAGCGTTAGCATCATCAGCAGCAGGAGCTCCAGCAGAACATTTGAACACAGAGACGCTGCATACAGGCTGGTTGATGTGAAACCTGGTGGGCATCCGCCGCAGGATGGCCGAGTCCAGGTCCTGTGGGCGGTTGGTGGCACCCATGATGATCACCTGGTAGGGAGAGAGTTATGAGAACATGCCCACCTGCTGCTGGATGTCTGTGTGTGTGATTTTGGGGGGGGGAGGGTCACCTGGCAGTGGTGGTCTGTGTCCAGTCCGTCCCATAGACTCATGAACTGGGCCTTCATCATGGCCGTGGCCTCGTGGTCTGAGCTGGAGCGACTCCTCAGGAAGGAGTCTGTTAAACGGAGAACGGGAAAGGATCGGTGATGAGGCAGCAGGAAGTCAGGCGTTAAACACGCAGACACGGACCACGGCGAACAGCGGGTCCACATTTCTCACCGATCTCATCGATGAAGATGATGGACGGCTGCAGCTTGACGGCCAATGAGAAAACAGCAGCAGCCAGTTTCTGGGACTCTCCGTACCATTTGTCCGTCAGCGTGCTCGGCTGCAGGTTGATGAAGCGAAACCCCGCCTCCTTTGCTGTTGCCTTGGCGATCAGCGTCTTACCGCAGCCGGGGGGGCCGTAGAGCAACACACCTGTTACCACGACGAAAGGATGAGGTCAACATTTGGTTTTACTTCCTCGGTAAAACTAGGTTGGCTCATATTTCGTTATACAACTAAAAATAAATAAAAAACACATTTAGAACATTATGGACCTGAGCTTTAATTTATAAGGGCTGATTTTATTTATTTTAGCAAGTTTAATAATCTGGTGCGTTTTGGGTGATTTACAAAGATTACTACCAAATATTAAGATGTGCAGACAGTTTAATTTAAACTATTAATGTTAAAGACTGACCAATACATCAGCCGCCGATTTATTTAACTGATGGTAACATTTCTGTTTTCTTTTTAATGTTTTCTTTGATTAATAAAAAAAATATATATATACATTTTGTTTAATTTGTAACCTGTTTTAGATTTATTATTGCAGGACTTTTATCATCTAAATGGAAGACGTAAAAGCAACACCGACTGCTGAATAATCCTTGTGAAATTATCAGGGATCAGTTAGACTAAAGGCAACATTATTGCTATTAGTGTCTGTCTAAAAAACATTTATCTGTAGATTTCCTTTTAAAACGAACAGTTTGAGTGATCAGGAAGCTTGAGGATGATGTAAAAGGAAGACAGATGGTTCTAAGCATTGTAGTTGGAGGTAATAATGAAAAAAATTATTTAAAGAATAATAACTAAAATACTTAACAATATTTATAGTGCACTTTGTGGCCTATTTTGAATAAAAATAGGCTACAGGTTGTGGATATTTTCAAATGTCTGGGTTTTACAAACTGCACTGTTTTCCAATTTTTCTTCTCTTCACTTCGGGTAGATGGTTTTCCCCCGGAGTGAAGAGAGAAGATGCATTTCTGCTGCTCTGCTGGACGTTACAACATTTATATTGGAAAGAGTAAATGTTTGTGTTGGGCTTAAAGTGAACGAAGAGTTATCTGTAAATACAATTGAAAAAGAACGCAATTTGGAAAACAAAACACAAAAAAGAAAGCAAAATTTTCTATCTATCTATTTTTGAAATTCGCAAAAAATATCTTGGATTGTTTCATTCTGGATTGTTTTTTGTTTTTTTTTCTTCACAATTTCCATTTACAATTCATGTTCTTTGCTGCAACAACAATGGAGCATCGTAACATTGACCAATTCAGATATTAATGCCGATAATTATGCATCTCTAATTTATTATCTGTGTTAGGGCTTAGTCACCCAGTCTGTAAGAAGTAGCGCTACCGCAGGTCATTCATTCCTGCTGCCACCAGACTCTATAATAATGCACTATAACCACAATAACTCCTGTAACAACCACTGTGCAGCTATATTATAGTTTTTGATTCATTGACTGTGCAATATCCAGTGCAATATGCTGAATGTGCAATATTTCTCCACCTGTATATAAGCCATTCGGATTGTACATATTTTTATTTCTTATTTTTTTATTTCTTATTTTTATTTTGTTTTTCATTGTGTGCGATACATGTACACTTGCACCTTAATCCTTATTTATCTTGATATACTGTATATATATTGCTTATTCTTAGTGCACCTTTTTCCTCTTTGTTTGCACCTTCTGTAACTTCTATGCCAATATGTGACGAGTGAATTTCTCCACTGTGAGATCAATAAAGCTCATCTAATCTAATCTAAGGCCTGAAACAATTAATCAGATTAATCAATTTTTGAAACAATTGTCAACTAATTTAGTAATTGATTTAACGATAACTGGGATATAGAATACTTGGGTTAGAGACTCTAAAATATGCCTTTAGTTTACAGAGCAAACCCATCAGTGCAGAATTACACCAAAATTGTTAAATATATATAATCCTCTTTGAAATTTAAGATGAAAAACAAGGTTTTTCTCTGTCAGTTTGCTTTATCCAGCTTCCTCAGGTGGAAAAGTTTTAGTTTCAAATAGATTAATTTCATAAACAGTCTTCTTTAAGGAATCGTTGGCTATCTGATTATCCATCCATCCATCCATCTTCTCACACGCTTAATCCCAAGTGTTGTCGCGAGGGGTGGCTATCTGATTATAAATTGATTAATCAAAAAAATCATTGACAGATTAACCATTTGCAAAATAATCATTAGTTGCAGCCCTAATTTATATCAAATCTTTAATTGTAAAATGCATAACTAATTTATGTCATTAAAAATTTTTGTAATTTAAACAAATCTAACTGCTTTACCAGGGTGAAGAGAAATTGCACATTAAATGATATTGGTCTGAGTCTAACAAAGCATTAAAGCTCTTCCTCGCCGTCTGTGTCACTGTTGTCCTTTTTTTCCAAAATGTGCGTTTGCATTTGTCAGTTTGTGAGGGACTGCATGTTTTTATGTAGGTTTATATTATATAATCATAAACTTTGAGCTGAAATGTTCAACTTTAAGGCCCCGTTTTGAGTTTAATAAGCTGGATCTGTCTCCAGATCATCATTCTAGAATCCTCAGCTTTGAATTCTCAGCTCTGTCTCAGGTTTGATCTAATCCGAGCTGCGCCTCCCAGCTCTGCTCAGGTGAACAGGAGGCAGATGGGGAAGTCTGACCTTTAGGAGGCTGCAGAAGTTTGGAGTTCAGGAACAGGTGTCTTTTCTGAACAGGCAGAATCACGGTCTCCTTCAGCTCAGTGATGACCTCATCCAGACCAGCGATGTCCCTCCAGGTGATCTATCAGAGGTCAAAGGTCAGACACAGGACTGGCTCCGTCATCCACTGTGATGAGGAGAAAATACCTGCATGCTCAGCGGGTCCACCAGGTGAGCTGCGATACTCATCTCATACTCTGACAGCTTGACGTTCTTCACTCCTATCTGACGCATCAACTTCTCAGCCTGTTGGAGACATTTTAGATGATTTCTAAAGCTCCATGAACCTCTGAGGAACCAAGCTTCCAGACCCTCACCTGCTTCTGGGCCTCCACCTTCTGCTTCCGGGTCGGATCAATGGCATCCACCATCCACTTGATGGTGAAGTAGGTTACAGCTCCAAAAATGGTGAGTCTGAAAAGCAGGCCAATGACCTCATTCCTACCCAGAGGACGGGTGATGTTCTCAGTTGGAACCTCCTTCAGAACCATGGTTGCTCTCTTAAAGACACACACACACAGTAAAACAGTAGCAGAATAATGTATGTTCCTGACCAGGAAGGTCGGGGAGAAAAATACAGACAGACTCTGATCTGATCTGAAGTTTTCTGAACTGGAATCATTTCAGCTTGGGAAGCAGATCAGGACCATTTCTGACAGCTTCCAAACTACTGCCCACGTGCTGCTGCCTTAAATTGACCATTTTTTTAAAGGAGTCTGGTGTGACATTAGCTACGTAGTCACAAAGACGGTTATACTCAGAGTATAAGATGTCATGGTCCTCAGGTATAACGAAACTGGAAGTGACCCGGGGCTAACTGCTACTAGCAAGCTATGACCTTCGGTAGAATCGCTCTATTAGGCCACAATATGTGGAACAACACGCTCTGATCCCCGCAGCGGAGCAACAGCACCTCCCGCCGCCCCGGTGTGATGCTAATCCAGGCCCAAATACTGTCAGTAATTAAGAATTACCTGTTCCCGGCTTCCGTGTGTCTGACAGCACGGTGCGGGTTCTTCTTCTCCTGCGTTTAACGAACCGGGTCCCAACTTAACGCCCCCTGCTGTTAGAGCAGGGAACTTTTCTGTACGGTAAAATGTGCATCATTAAAATCAGCCCGATAAGGAAACCCTTAACTGATGCTGTGGTATTTTTAACCTTTTCAACTTCATATCAATATTAAAATCAGGACTCAGAATTTAACTAAGAAGCTTGAATTCACGCCTCTCATTTAGACACTTTTAGTCTCCTGAACAAAACAGCCAAGGATAAAATGCCCCCGGGGGGCCGTACTGTAGCCCCCCTCACCCGGATATCACTGTATTGGCTACCATTAAAACCTCCGGATGGTGAAACCTAAACCATCAAACTGTGGCCGCGAGTTGCGTTATGTAATGTCAGCAGGTTGCCAGATTGGGCTCGATCATAGCAGTTAAAAACGGGGGGATGATACAACTTGGCAACCATCCTCTGACAGGACCCGCTAGCTCGCTGACAGCTAGCATCATCAAGTTAGATTTAAAAAAAATGCGGCAACAGGAAGTGCTTTTGTTTAAAAAATAAAAGCATATGTGACTCGGTGGATCAGATTTGTCTTTACACAATATGCCAATAATTTAACTCTGGGTTGAACAATGCTCACGGTGTTCTTACTTATAAAGTAATAACAATAATACAGCATTAAAAACAGAGGAAGCAGTATAGATAACACTCATATGAACAGGCAGTAGTGCAGAATGCAGTAATAAATAGGGAATGAAAAGAAGTAAAATTGTTTTGGTACTATAGCCGTTTATTAGTAATTGCTTTTGTCATCTTTTTCTTTTTTTGTATGTGTTAATGTATGGAAAGTATAAAATAAAAATATATATATAACATAAGGGGGAAAATAATCAAATTATGTCATTATTAAGACAACGGATTAAGAGGCAAAAGTTGCATTTAATATTTAACATTTTACACAGTTTGCGATGATATACAGTATATTTAAAGAAAGTGATATTGTAACTGTGCGTCTTGCTGTACCGGAAACATTATTTTGAAAGCCGCAGACAGCGCCTCGTGCTACCGTGAACTTGACGCTCGGTGGTCTCTGTTCGGGGAGCTTTTTCTCTCCGCGTCGCTGCTTTTAATCGCGGTTCTCATCAGCCCTTCGAGGCCAGGGACGGTTCCGTGGATCTATCCGGAACTCCGGGTCTGCACTGGGGAGCGGCCCGGTGGTTCTGTGTCCGGGCGGGGGCACCTGGAGAGCCCCGGGCCCACAGCGGGAGCAGCCCCCTGATCTGACCCAGAAAGCAGCGCTGACGGCCGGGGGCTGGCTGTCCACCAACAGGACGGTTAGCATCCCGCTGCTGCTGCGGAGCTCAGAGGGAGGCGAGAACCGAGAACTGTTCTTTTATCCGCTGTGAGAATATTTCTGCATATCTGGAAGATTTTTTCGTATTTTTCTACACATTTCTTTATTTTTTTTGTGGGGCGCGGAGGGCCAGCGAGGAGCTAGCTCCTAGCTAGCTGCCCCCGCTAGCCTCATCTGTCCGGAGCAGAGAGAGCGGAGGAATCGGGGGCTGCTCAGCCGGTCCCTGGTGCCTGGTTAACGGACCTCTGGGAACCATGGCTGCTAATCTAATCAAGGAAATCGTTAGCAGGAACAAACGGCGGTACCAGGAGGACGGCTTCGACCTGGATCTTACCTGTATCCTTTACCGGTTTAACGTGGGGCCCCAACATCTACAGTGAAACAGGATCCCACAGAAAGATGCCTTAAAATCCTGCTTTTATCTGCTGTCTGTAAAACTGCTGGATTAATGTGGGAAGCTGTATAGATTCGGAAGAAATATGTGTTTTTTCTTTAAAGTTCAGAGTTAGGATTGTGTGTTTGGGTTTATCTCTGATTCTGACAGATTTCACTGGTTGGGGGCGCAGATGGAGCCCATCCTGCTCCATCACTGCAGTTTCCCTTCAGGTCAGGAGATCTGATGACAGGCAGCAGCATCCATGGAGCATCAAATCCAGCTAGAATCAGAAACAGGGATGTTTCAGCTCCAGGTGGAGATGAGGAGACCTTCAGATGGATCCAACCAGGTTACACAGATCATAAACACCCTGGAAGGCTGGGATATTTCCAAGCCAAACGTCTCTTGGATCCTGTTGAGGTTCTGTCTGCAGATGTGGAACATCCTGATGATCCAAGCTGGCTTCCAAGTTCAGTGCAAAGCTCAGGTTGTTCAGCTGCAGGATTGTCTGATCTATTGTTGGGCTGATGTGATGTGAAGTAGTAAAGGCTGCTTGGAGGCTGAACATTAGAAGGAAGCTGATGCTGCAGGTTTCCGATCACGGAGAGCATCCAAAGGGAAAGTTTTAATAGGTGCATTAAACTCTGACTGAACCCAACTGATCCAGCTTAGATTGTTCCTCACAGTAGAAACTTTGTTGGTATCAGAGCAGCTGATAAAGAGGAGAGTGAGATGGATCCAAACGTTGGATAAAAAGTCTGTTAAATTGAAGCTGTTTTTAGGCACAGGCGTCTCTCACCTGACTTTACATGTGCATTCATACTAAGGATTACAGGCACATATATATAAATAGTTTATAGACACAAGGTCCAGCAGAAATAAGTGCACACAAAGTGTGGTACTAGATCTAGGAAAGGATGCAGGACTTTTACCTTTCACTTCAAACTAAAACTACTCAGAAATACTCAGATTGACATGTTGTGACATCACAGTCGGTATTTCCTGAACCTTCCCATCAGATATCTATCCCAACATCATCGCCATGGGCTTCCCCGCTGAGCGGCTGGAGGGCGTCTACAGAAACAACATAGACGACGTTGTCCGGTGAGTGTCCAGCACGCCGCCTGTAGACGCATCAGGGAACCCAGGCTGAGCGGTTCTGGATGCGTTTCAGAGCCCGGGTCTAATTTGGCTGGTTTATCTCCTTCCGACTCTATTTCACAGATAAATCCTTGATGTTTGTGTCAATATTCCAGCTTTTTCAGAGTAAACGTTAACCTGCTTGGTTAAACTCATTCACATGTTTGTTTGATCATGTGACGATCATACAATCGATGCCGTCTGTCCAGCCATCAGGTCTCTGCAGGGAAACTCTTTAGTTGAGCTGCTGCAGGCGGGGATCTTTCATCTCACAACTTTTGAATCCACCACAGCAGTATGACAGCTTTGTGTTGGCCAGTACTGCTGTAGACCCGATAGGATATCAGCAGGCCTGCAACATTAACACACCTTGCTGCACAATACATTTCCCCATGATTTATTGTAATAAACGATAATAATGTCATTGTTTTGAAGCCTAAGTGCTCCCCTCTGCAGGCTTCTTCATCCAGACTCTTTAGTAGAAATGGATCCAGATGAGGGAAACAAAGCATGCAATCCTAAACTATTGATCTCATTTAAATGTAATATACCATTCATTTTTATATTGTTGCAAAACTATTATCAGCATCATCATTCCTACTTGTTATTTCTCATTTTGTACTGTCGAAAAAAAAAAGAAAAAAAAAAAGACAGGATGCTGTGATATTATGAGAACAACAGGAATAAGAACAGTTGATCTATTTACAGCCGGTTTACGTATCCTTTCATCAAAGACAGAAAAAATAAGCTGCTGGTAAAATATATAGAATTTAAAAAATTAATAACACAATTAAAAAATGGAAATGATTACATCGATTTAGAATACATGTATATATTAATAAATAACAGAAGTAAACAGGCCTGATGGAGCCCCTTAGCTAAAATGTTGTTGAGCAACACTTTGAGGCAATAATCACTGAAATCAGGTGTTTTCTGTAACGTTCAGTCAGAATTCTGCTCCTATTGGCAGCTTAGACACTGCTCATGAGCAAGGCACCTTCATTTGGCTGGGACTGTTTTATAAAAAAAAAAAAAGATTATTTTACTAAATTATGTTTTGTAATTTTATTATTTATTATTACTTTTTCACTTTTGTGTTTTTTGAGTTACTAAAATGAATTGATCATTTTCTTTAATGGTTAGTAAACCTTCAAACTATATTATTAACCTGTGGCTTTAAGAAACCAGTGTTAACATGAGAGATGTCAGACATGCAGATATAATATGGAGGTCATTATTTCCCTCATATGGGACCGATTTCTGATTGCATTATTAGATGTGTAGATGTGTGGAGTGATATTTGTTCTATTATTGTTAAAGGCATAAATCAAGCTCTGCAAATTGAAGTAAAAAAAAAAAAATATTCATGAATATAATATAAAAAATAAAATGCAACCCAGAAATTAAGTAAAGATGGTTTTGAGAGTAGCTTTACTGTTTTCTCAGATTTTTTTAAATACAAATGTATGTCTATTTTTATTTATTGATTTCTTTTTTTAAAGTAACTTTGACACTTTTTTAAATTTTCAGATTAAGTTTTACGAAGTGCATTTATTTCAAATTGCTCGTCAGTTTTCATTCTTCTCTTCAAGCTCAGACCAAACGCTCGCCCTCAGCGCGCCGGTTCACAACCTGGTCCTGCAGACCAATAGAAACGCCTCTTCTCTCCTCACTGCTGAGGAAAGCCATGCGAAGTGAAGGGAATGTGGTCTGGAAAATGCTATTTGAAAAGAATGCAGTTAGTAAAACTCAATCTGAAAAAAAGGAAATGTAAAAGCAAAAATCTAATATGTCAAATCTATATTAAAAAATAAAATTAGCAAAAATAACATGCGAAAAAAAAATCTGTAAAAAACGACAAAGTTACTCTCAAAACATTTTTCTTTTCTTTTTTTTATTAAAATGTTTTATTTCATTTCTGGATTGCATTTTTGCACCGACTGGCTGACATTCTGATTTATTAACACAATCAGCTGCCATACCTTGGGAGCACAGAAAGCTCAGCATTGCTGCTCCTCTATCTGCTTTCCACGTTTTCTTGTTTATCATTTGTTATCTTTGTGTTATTTTTATCATGTAAAAGGAGGAAAAAAAGTTATCAATCTGCACAAAAACAAATCAAATAAGTAAAAATGTCTTTATTAAGTGTATTTACCCTTCATTTGAGCAGGTGAATAAGTCAGTTTGCCAATTAAATTAGTATTTCTACTCTTAAAATAAGATTATTAGATAATATGCACTTGAAATAAGACAATGCAAAAAATGTTTTTATTTTAAATGGAAACTCAATTAAAGAAAAACGAACTTATTTTAAGAAAAAAATGACTTATTAAAATAAAAGTTTTTTATTGTGCAGGCTTGCCTTTAAAGAGGAAACTGATCCATTATTCTCCTTTTTCTGTTTGTTTCAGGTTCTTGGATTCCAAGCACAAGAATCACTATAAGATTTATAATCTGTAAGTACTGCCCGCCGCCTCCCTCAGTCAACCTTTTATTGCAGAACCTATATAGGAGAGCGGTTCAAATCCCACTGCCTCCACTTTGGGTTCCTGAGCAAAACCCCTGGTTGCTCGCTGGGCGCCGCACAATGGCAGCCCACTGCTCCCAGAGGGGAAGGGTTAAATGCAGAGCTACATTTCTCCAATGTAAGAACAATAAAGTTCAATTATCTGTTATTATCAACCTAAAACTGATGATACAAACGGATCCTTTGATTTTTGGGCTGTGATCAGATGAGATTTACATTTTCAAAGTGCAGGTGGAAGGCAGCTGAGACTAAATCTGCTCTAAAGCACGTCTGCTTTTATAAAACAGATCTGTTCACACATTTTTCTTTTTAAAATAACCAATAAAATCAGCGAATAAGGGGTTTTCTCTCTTTACTCCCTCCCATGTTTTACTCTGGTTTTAAAGTCTGTCTTTTTCCTCAGGTGTGCAGAGCGGCACTACGACACCTCCAAGTTCAACTGTCGGGGTGAGGCCGTCTCCCCTCCTCTGTCCCTAAAAGGGAGCAGCTTTTCCCTACGTTTCCTTCCTGAATATTCTTCCTCTGTTTCAGTGGCTCAGTATCCATTCGAAGACCACAACCCGCCTCAGCTGGAGCTGATTAAACCCTTCTGCGAGGACCTGGACCAGTGGCTCAGCGAGGACGAGCAGCATGTGGCCGCCATCCACTGCAAGGCAGGGAAAGGTCGCACTGGAGTCATGATTTGTGCCTATTTGCTGCACCGAGGGAAGTTCCAGGAAGCTCAGGAGGCCCTAGACTTCTACGGAGAGGTCCGGACCAGGGACAAGAAGGTCAGTTAAACCTGAAGAGCTGCTGGATGCGTTAGGATGCCGTAGCTTTTGTGTTCTGGCTGATTTCTGGACCCATTTGTTGGGATCTGTGTGTTCAGGGTGTCACCATTCCCAGCCAGCGCCGCTATGTCATCTACTACAACTTCCTGCTCAGGAACCGGCTGCACTACAAACCCGTGGCTCTGCTCTTCCACAAAATGCTCTTTGAGACCGTCCCCATGTTCACAGCCGGGACCTGCAGTAAGTCCTACAATCAGAACCGGGCCACTTCTTTTCAGTTCAGACTGAGATTCATTTCTAAACTTAGAGATTAGTCCACATTCCACAGACTCAGACCTGCTTCCAGTCCAGCTCAGGTTCCAGACTGTAAGTGATCCGGATGGTGACGCTCTGCTGTTCTGCTTTCCTCAGACCCGCAGTTCGTGGTCTACCAGCTCAAGGTCAAAATCCACACCTCCAACCCGGCTTACACCCACAGGGAGGACAAGCTGATGGTGTTTGAGTTTCCTCAACCGCTTCCCGTCTGCGGAGACATCAAGGTGGAATTCTTCCACAAGCAGAACAAGATGATGAAGAAGGTGAGCTGATGAAGAGGAGGAGGATGCATGTCTGCTTTTCATGCTCCACAGTAGTCAGGTTCAGGGCCGAACGTGGTCCAGATTCATTTTCAATTAGGAGATCATTCTGATCATCAGTTTTTTACAGCAGAGGTTCCCAAACGTTTCAGCCACAGGCTGCCCCCCCCCCTTAAAATACATACCATCATATAATAGTTTATGAATGGCTGACTAATGAAGTGTCATTTCTATAACGGTACGTTTATCGATTTCCTGAGATCCTTTGGTCCTCCATGAACCTCAGGAGTCACGTTAGGATTGATCTTTTTTTTCTGTATCTCTGCTTCTGTCTCCTTGAACCCCAGTCGGCCTCAGCAGATGGCCGCTCACACTGAGCCTGGTTCTGCTGGAGGTTTCTTCCTGTTAAAAGGGAGTTTTTCCTCTCTACTGTCACTACAAGCATGCTTAGTGTGAGGGATTGCCTGACTAGATGCAATCAGCTGGTTTTCCTTAGATAGAAAACTTTGAATCAATTTGACTGGATGATCTGGTTGAACTGGAAAGTGACCTGAGATGATTTGTTGTGAATTTGTGCTATAGAAATAAACTGAATAGAATTGAGGTTATTTCCTATATAAATAACCTATAAAACTATATAATTAACCTGAATTGAACAGAATCTTGACCCCCACCCCCCACCCACTGGGTGTTTAGAGGCCCTGTGGGGGTCTTTCCCCCCACTTTGGGAACCCCTGTTCTACAGGACAAGGAGGCGGCCATGCTCCAGTTTTAGAACAGTTTACTGAACAAACAAATAATAACTGCAGCTAAATATAGGAAACAGAAAAGTGATGATAATGATTGATATCAAATTAGCAGTTAGCCTGTGATTGAACAGACACTCATTAATGCAGAAAAGGTATTTTAAACCATCCTGATGAACCAATTATCATTTTTTTTTTTTAGGCTGGTACCGATTAGGGGTGTAAATCACATCCATCATGGCGATTCGATTCAGTATCGATTTCCTGACCCAACGATTCGATTATTTTCGATACTCAAGAATACACCACGATACGATTCGATTAATCGATTAATTTCTTTATTTTATTTTATTTTATTTTTTTTACACCTTACAGGCTAAACAAAGTTTCAAGTTTGAAATAAATCAATGAAAGCTGTAATATCATTATGCATTTTTTTTTAGAAGTAGAAACGTTGCATAAAAAAAACTGCAAAAATTACTTCACATAATCAGTGCAATGAGTGCAATGCAACACCTCGGCTCCAGACGTCCCGCCCCCTCCACAGACAAATTGTAGCTGACCGCAGACAGTGCGGCAGACAGGAGGCCGGCTTGTTTTGTTTTTATGACCGAAATTGCGGAAAACAACTCGTGAAGTTTGACCAGCTAGAAGAGCGAAGTGCGTGAAAACACTGGGACCCTTTTTCCAGCTGGATCTCTGCTCTTTTTGGCCCTCATGTCCCTCCGTTGTCGGACTAAACTCGCTCCCACTTCCTCGCCGCCTCGGCCGTATCTAGACCCACAGCGTGTAGCGCAGAACACGCTTCAATATTGAGCATAATTTAAAAATGTCTGCATCAAGCTCACTGCAACACACTGCTGTAAGAGTATAACCAGGAAGCGAGGTAGGAGGGCACAATAGGTTTAGCGCCACCGCAGCACGGGAGGAGAATTACGCCCAGGAGCAAATGGATAAAAATAGATCGGAGGGAAAAAAAACATGAATCAATTCTCTTGCGGACGTATCGATGCATCGATACAAAACGATTGTTATTTACACACCTAGTACAGATTATTTTAACATCAAACCAAATGATCCCCAGTATTTTCTGGCTTTTCTGGGAGGCTTAAAATTTAGCCCAATACGTTCTCTCTTCCTCCACAAGATAAAAATGACACAATGGTGATAAATGTAACACAGGTCTCAATGTAAGCAAAATAAACATTTAAAATATAATAAAAAAATCAAAACATTAAAAGGGAAAAGCAGGTGAGGCAGCCCTGATACCTGCATTTGAAGTTTGAAGGATTGAAGTCGAGCTCAGTTGTCCTGGTTGGTTTCTCCCTGTGTTTGGTTCTGAGGGAGCTCCAGAAGCTTGCATTGGATCTTCACCAGAGCTAACTGGTTTCTAACACCTTTCCTTTTAGGAAAAGATGTTCCATTTCTGGATCAACACGTTCTTCATCCCCGGACCGGAGGAGACATCGGACAGAATAGAGAACGGCAGCTCTGGAAGCCTTCGGGATCTCTCGCACAGAGCGTTTCAGAACCCGGGAATCCTGATGGGAAGCGAGACCAACGACAGAGACTTCCTGGTTCTGACGCTCAACAAGAACGAGCTGGATAAAGCCAACAAGGATAAAGCCAACAAGAACTTCTCTCCAAACTTTAAGGTAAAGCTGGATCCGTTATTTATTCCCATCCTTTGAAAATGGCTTTTTTTATTCACTAAATAACGGACTCCATGTTGGATCAGTTCTATGGAGTGCAGTTTGTTCCATTATTGTTCAAGCATAAACCGTTTTATAAATGGACCCAAAACAAAAGATTCTTAACCAAAAAAAGGTTTTCAGAGTAACATTGCTTTTTTCCCAGATTTTATTTTTTCATGTTTTAATATAGATTTTATAATTTATAGATTTTTTCCAGATTTGTCTTTTACAGATTGTAGTTTATAAATGACCTTCTTTTCACTTCAAGCCCAATAAAAACACGTGCAGTGACCAATAAAACTTTTTTTGCCAACATCCATGCAGACAAATAGAAATGTTTTGTTGCTCTTCACTGCAGAGAGATCTGATAAACAAACATTTGAAAACATCAAATTTGTAAAAAAAAAAAAAAAAAAAAAAGTGAAAAGGTAAAATAAAAAATACAAATTTTAAAGGGAAAAAAAAAAGTTTTTATTTCTAACTTTATTTGGAAAATACGTTATTTGAGGGATTTTTTTTTGTTTCTGAATTTCATTCTTTTAAAAATTACATTTACAAAATATGTTCTTTGCTTATGAAAATATCAGAACAAAATTCCCCCCATACTGAATAATCCCAATAATGCTGATTTTTCAGGATTTCGCTCGCCGGTCAGTTTTTCTGTGACGCTTCTGGTTTTGCTCCTCAGGTCAAACTATTCTTCACGAAGACGGTGGAGGAAGGAGCCAACTGTGACACCTGCAGCACGTCGGCGTCGGTGACTCCGGACGTCAGTGACAACGAACCGGATCACTACCGCTACTCGGACACTACGGACTCTGACCCTGAGAATGAGACGTTTGAAGACGACCTCCAAAGTCAGATCACTAAAGTCTGACCGTCTCTCTCTCAAACATATATCTATGTATAAGTGTACATAATTCAGAACGGATCTGTGGACTCTGGATTAAAGGAGCTCAGATTATAACCCCAAACATCCTTCATCTACTCGCTGGACAATCATGACGTGACGAGCAGCAGGAGGGGAACTGTGCTGCAGGAGTGGGCGGGGCCTTGAGGGGGACGTTTAAGAAAGCGCTAATCTCAGAAACCATAATCCAAACCTTCATTTTATCTCTCCTTCCTCCGGAACAGATTCAGGAACCTTCATCCTGATTCTGGTTCTGTCCAAGTCTGGTTCGGTTCCATTCGTTTGGCTATTTCCAGAATCACATCGGATTATTTCCTGTTTTTTTTTTTTTATTTTAAATATATCTATATAGATATATCTATATTCACCACATTCCTGTCTGCATCAGGTCCAAATCCAAACCGGCAGCATCAGAAGGACCTGATGGCGGGCTTTGACCCAGCCTTCTGCTGGGAAGCTGCAGAAGGTTCTGTTTTAGGATTTAAAGTAAAACCTGGAAGCTCCAGCTTCCATCAGTCACTAAGCTAAACAGCAAACAAGCTCCTCCCATTGCGACCGCTCTGGTTCTGGACTCTTCGGGTCCGGTCCGTCCAGAGAAGCTCCTCTGGTTGTTCGGCAGCTTCATCAATTTGTCGGATCGTATGAGATATGGAGCTTTCTGGGAATGGAGGCCAGGACTGGGAAGGAACCTGAGGTCTGCAGAACCTTCAGAACCGCTGGTCTGAAACTGTAGCTGAACTGGTTTCTGGTGCTGATCCGGCTTGCAGATGGTTCCGCTCTAGAACTTCCATGTGTGATTCTGGTTCACACATTTGGTCTGGAAACGTTTCCCTCCAGATCTGGATGTTGGTCCGTTAATGGAAGGGTGGAAGTCCGATCACTGGTTGGAGTGTTAGTGTCTGGAAGAACGTGTGCCTGAGGTCCGGTACAGGAAGCTGAGCGGTTATGTCCGGATCCGATGGGTCAAACGTAGAACTGAGGTATTTGGAGCAGTGGCTCAGAACATTGACCCAGTCAGTCCTCCATCTGCGGCGCCGTTGTTCTCAGACCTGATAGAACCTGGGTCTGCCTGGTTCAGAAATGTCATTGGACCTCTAAGGTTCGGTTTCTGCCTCCGTTCCGGTTCTGAACCAGAAGCTCCATCAGATGTTGTCTTTACGGTTCAGATTCTGCTGGCTCTTTGTCCTCCACTCACAGAGTTTCCATTTTTGTTTCTGCTAATGAAGAACAAAGTCTTGGTCCGTTGGCGTTTCTACCAATCAGAACCGTCCCAATTCATGATGTCAGCGCTCCGTTTCATTCGGTTCTGCTGCTCAGCCGATTTTAAATATTCAATCACAGCTGTAGAACAGAGAGGGTGATGGGTTCTGCTCATCGGAACCACCTGATCAGACGGATCCACGCTGTGACTGTATTAGCTGTTGTCAATCGGACCTCTCGACCCGACCCCTTTTATTCTGTCGCTACTCATTTTATAAAGGAAAAAAGCACTGTAAAGTGAATAAACTATTTATAAACAGCTTTGAGTTGTTTCTGTTTGTTCAATAAAGATTCATGACTACAGAACTTTATCCTCTGCAGCATCATGTGGTTCTACTGCCTGGGAGAAGAATGGAACCCAGCAGAACCTGGTTCTACAACTACTGAACAGAACCCTGCAGGATTTTCTGTTGTTGATCTCAGATAATCCGGCTAAAAAAATGGATCTAGAGTGAAATCTTAATCCATTAGGGTTAAAAATATTCCAGAATAAAGAGAAGTCAGAATATCTACATAAACACCTTTTTTTTATGGATTTCTTCAAGAGGGAAGCTGGTGTGGAACAGAATGATGAAACTTGAATTGGTTGGGCTTTAGGAATCTGTGCAGCAGCTGTTCTGTTCCATAGCAGGATTAAATAATCTGCATTTAGGAAGAAGGTCCACAGTAACTCTCACTGTCAGAGAAACCTAAACGATCCAGAACGAAGGACCCGGCGTGGAGGAGGAGGATCTGTGACACGGACGCAACAGCAGCAGCTCCTGTGAGCTCAGAGGCGGAGCAGCGAGTAAAAACCAGGTCACACACTCAGAGCCTCGTGAGCAGAGAACCACAACTGATTCTGTCTTATCTGGTGCTATAAAAAACCAGCAGGCAGAACCAATACTGGAACTGGACCGAGCACGCAGCCATAAACCAGTCTGGAACCAGTTAGCCTTTAGCACCTATTACATTTACTCAGTAACACTTCAGGAACTTTAAAAATATATATACTTTTAAGATGTTTTTTCATTAAATTGCACCTTTTGGGTTAGTCAAAGTACAAAGTAGAGCTATTCTCCCTAGAATAAAACCTCTATCTAGAACCAAGCGGATTTGAACCAAAATGCACCAAAAGAAGAAAATGGTTTAGTTAAGGAGGAACTTCTTCTCTATAGCCAAGCTTCATCATTTTATGTTATTTTCAATCTGCCAGTTCTCTTATTTACATTATACCGTATATCAACACTGGAGGTAAATGGGTTAGAATAACTTTAGAAGATCCAAAACCAGTCTATATATTTTTATCATCTTTATTAAAATCACATTTAATGTATTTTAATTTTTCAGTGGCCTATATAAATATCTTGCTTTTCTATAAATATGTTATATTTAATATTGGAATCATCTATTAAGTAAATATTACATCTACTTATTTCAGTGTAGATTTCACAATACTTTCACATTTCTGTATTTCATGTACATTTTGCCCTCCATATTTCTCAGACATCACAATGATTGTGAAAATCATCTATATTTACATTAACTCCAAATTCTAGTTTAAAAAGATTCATGTTTAGTGTTGTATTCAGTGGCGATCTGGATGCTTCTCTGGTTGCACATGTGGAAATGGGCTGATTGGAGTTTCTGGTGCCGATCAGATAGCAACGGCTAATCTATGGGGATCATTTTGTTCCATTATTGTTGCAAGCTGAAAACAGTTTTTGTACAATGCAATTTGAGAAAAACAGCATTCAGAAATGAAACTGAAAACAGAAAATGAAAAAAATTTCACATAAAAAAAACTAATTTTATATTTTCAAATTTCATGTTTTTATTTATTTTTTTTCATAATGAACTTTAAGAATCAGATTCCTTTCAAATTGTGCTTTACAGATCGCCATCTCTTCACCTTTGGTAGGATAAATGGCTTTGCGGCATGGACACATTTCCATTGGTCTGTGGACGCAAGCAACATTGTATATATATATATACAGTGAGAAAAATAAGTATTTGATCACCCTGCAATTTTGCAACTTCTCCCACTTGGAAATCAGGGAGGGGTCATCGTAGTTGCATATCCACTGTGAGACACAAAGTCTAAAAAAAAAAACCATCCAGAAATCACATGCATGATTTTTTTCTCTATTTATTTGTATGACACGGCTGCAAATATGTATTTGAACACCTGAGAAATCAATGTCAATATTTGGTACAGTGGCATTTGTTTGCAATTACGGAGGTCAAACGTTTCCTGTAGTTTTTCACCAGGTTTTCCGACACTACAGGAAGGATTTTGGCCCACCCCTCCACACAGATCTTCTCTACGTCAGTCAGGTTTCTGGGCTGTCACTGAGAAATACTGAGTTAGAGCTCCCTCCAAAGATTCTCTATTGGGTTTAGGTCTGGAGACTGGCTAGGCCAGTCCAGAACCTTGATATGCTTCTTCCAGAGCCACCTCGGTTATCCTGGCTGTGTGTTTTGGATCATTGTGATGCTGGAAGACTCAGCCTCAACCCACCTTCAATGCTCTAACAGAGGGAAGGAGGTTCTCCCCCAAAATCTCGCAATTCATGGCCCTGGTCGCCCTGTCCCGTGTGCAAAAAAAACACCTCCAAAGCATGATGCTACCACCCCCATGCTTTACAGTAGGGATGGTGTTCTTGGGATGATACTCAACATTGTTCTTCCTTCAAACACGGTTAGTGGAATTATAACCAAAAAGTTTGGTCTCATCTGACCTCATGACTTTCTCCCATGACTCCTCTGGATCATTCTAATGGTCATTAGCAAACTTAAGACGGGCCTTGAATGTGCTGGTTTAAGCAGGGGGACCTTCCATATCCTCCATACCATGCATCAAACCATAAGGACTTAGCGTATTACCACAGTGGAACAAAAGATTTTCGGAAAATAAAATATAAATAAATGAAATAAATAAATAAAATCTGACAAAAACAACAAAGTTACTCTGAGAACCGTATATTTATGAACAATTTTTAGTTCAAAGTTTAATTTCTGAATTTCTTTTTTTTTTCTTTCCATTCACAAAACCTGTTTCCTTGCATTCAAATACACTACTCAAAAAAATAAAGGAACACTTTGTAATCAGAGTATAGCATCAAGTTAATTAAACTTCTGGGATATTGATTTGGTCAGGTAAGTACTAGTGGGGGTTGTTAATCAGTTTCAGCTGCTTTGGTGTTAATGAAATTACCAACAGGTGAACTAGAGGTTCAACAACGAGACGACCATCAAAACAGGAATGGTGGAGGTACAGGTGGAGGCCACATTTTTCCCTGTCCTCATCTTTTCTGACTCTTTTTCACCAGTTTTGCATTTGGCTACTGTCACTACTGTTAGCATGAGGCGCTTCCAGGACCCTACAGAGGTTGCACAGGCAGTCCAACTCCTCCAGGATGGCACATCAATACGTGCCATTGCCAGAAGGTTTGCTGTGTCTCCCAGCACAATCTCAAGAGCATGGAGGAGATTCCAGGAGACAGGCAGTTACTCCAGGAGAGCTGGACAGGGCTGTAGAAGGTCTACAACCCATCAGCAGGACCGCTATCTGCTCCTTTGTGCAAAGAGGAGCAGGAGGAGCACTGCCAGAGGCCTACAAAATGACCTCCAGCAGGCCTCTGGTGTGAATCACTCTGACCAAACAGTCAGAAACAGACTTCACCAGGGTGGCCTGAGAACCTGACGTCCTCTAGTGGGCCCTGTTCACACTGCCCGGCACCGTGGAGCTCGATTGGCATTTGCCACAGAACACTGGAATTGGCAAGTCTGCCACTGGCGCCCTGTGCTTTTCACAGATGAGAGCAGGTTCACCCTGAGCACATGTGACAGACGTGAAAGGGTCTGGAGAAGCCGTGGAGAACAATATGCTGCCTGTAACATCGTTCAGCATGACTGGTTTGGTGGTGGGTCAGTGATGGTCTGGGGAGGCATATCCATGGAGGGACGCACAGACCTATAAAGGCTAGACAACGGCACCCTGATAGCAGCATTAGGTATCATGAAGGTATCCTTGCACCCATTGTCAGACCCTATGCTGGTGCAGTGGGTCCTGGGTTCCTCCTGGTGCACAACAACGCCCGGCCTCATGTGGCAAGAGTATGCAGGCAGTTCCTGGAGGATGAAGGAATTGATACCATTGATTGGCCCCCACGCTCGCCTGACCTAAATCCAATAGAACACCTCTGGGACATTATGTTTCCATCCATCCCACGCCGCCAGGTTGCACCTCAGATTGTCCAGGAGCTCAGTGATGCCCTGGTCCAGATCTGGGAGGAGATACCCCAGGACGCCATCCGTCGTCTCATTAGGAGCATGCCCCGACGTTGTCAGGCATGCATTCACTCACGTGGGGGCCACAAATTACTGAATACCATTTTGAGTTGCTGCAATGAAATTTCAGCTAAATGGACTAGCCTGCTGCATCATTTTTTCACTGTAATTTTTGGGGTGTCTTTGAATTCAGCCCTCTGTAGGTTGATAATTTACATTTCCATCAAATGATGTGGCATCCTTTTTTTCTTACCCCTTCCCCCGTTGCTTTTCGTTGGAATTAACCGGCTTTTTTTCCCATTGAGATCTGATGTGTTTTCAAAGGGATCCTTTAATTTTTTTTGAGCAGTGTATAATTTATCTTAATTTACTTCATAAGACTAAAGTTTAGAACGATTTTTGGGTACTCTAGAAAAAAACACAGTTGGGTGTAGGAACCTAAACCCAGATGTAAATTTAATTACAGACATTAGAAAGCAGAGCTGCAGCAATCAGCAATGAAGCTTGATCCATTGAAGGCATCAACTCCTTACTTTTGCTTCTATAGAAAGTACTCCAGAATCAGTGAGTTTCTTTCTTCATGTTCTCCACCTTCTCCATCCCCAAGTGACCATTCACACAGACTGGTTCTGCTGGGCAGTTTTCACTGCATCTATGGTTTTTTGAGGGACACACCTTCCTACTGGGCGATGACTCATATGAGTCATTCTCAGGTTATGTCAGCATTTGTGGTTTTAAGGTGAGCAGGTCTGTCAGTGATGGGGAGGAGCTGCTCAGGTCTTCTGGACCAAGAAAGCAGAGATCAACAGATTGATTGAACCAAAGACATTTATTCAGAGAAAAACAACAAACTTCTGTTTAAATCGCTTCATTAAACATTTTGGTAAATAATCTCAGTCATCATTCAGTGTTCTGCCGGACATCAAGCGAGGCCTCCAGAGCTCGGACCACACTTAGCGCTGAGTCCACACAGCCGTCGAAGTTGGAGTGGGTGAAGGCGTCGCCGCCGCAGATGAGCGGCGGCTGCTGCTGGATGGTCATGTGACCCGGACAGTTTGGGACTGAGGTCTGCACCTGCACAAGGGACAGACGGATGAGTAAGAAGCCGTCTCACCAGGATGAGACGAGCTCACGGGGAAGAGCCGACTCACCTGGGAGTACCTCCACTTCTGGAACTTAATGCTGATTGGCTGAGGTAGTTCAGGGAGGAGCCTGTGGAGCTCCTGCAAGATGATTGGCTGGATGACATCCTTGTCATTCTCCAGGTGCTTCAGGCCAAACGGGACGCTGGTGTGGACGACGAGGGATGGACCCAGACCTGGAGTATCTGGGAGGACATACGGATGATAAGGCCTTCCTGTCTGTGTGGCTGACATGCTGGATGAAGCTGCACTTCACACATTTCACACTTTAAAGTAAAAAACCTTGTTTATAATAAAAACATGGTCTAAACCTTGACTAATCTGAGGCAGAAAGTTGTAAATGCAAGCTTTAATCAGAGACCAGATGGAGGCTGGTCAACCTGACCTGTGTTGCGCTTCTTGTTGTCCACGGCGATGTAGCGGATGCAGCTGCTGTCGGTGACGTACCGCGCTCCCCACGGAAAGCTGAAGACAACATCAGGAGAGAAGAAGAGTCCGACGGCGAAGCGGGAAGAGTACCTGACCGCCTCCAACTGCTCTCTCTGCTGGACGGACAGAACTGGAAACAGATACAGACAGGCTGTAACAACACTGGCATCATGGGAAATGTAGTCCCTAGAGGCTTGGCTTGCTTAAACTCCATTTCCCAAACATATCCATTCTGTCTTGTACTGAAGCTGATCTCTAAGCTCATCCTTTAACCTGTTTATCACCATGACTATCAGCGCCGCCATATTCTGAAACCGTATCTGCATCCTGAAGATCTACACTGCAGAGGAACACCGTCATCAGACCCTGAAGGTCTGGATCATAAACTTTATTGTCTCTCCATTTCTGTGCAGGTGTGACATGTAGACATTACTAATCAATCCTGATCAGACTTCTCTTTGCGCCATCTCTGTTGTAATCCTGACCCTACCAGCACTTCTGCTTTAATCCCCAGATCACCGCCACTGGACCACAGGTTTACCAGATGCATTTCTTCAAATCACTGGATTTGGGTTAATTCTGAGCTGAATGACGGCTCATCTAGGTCCAGGACTGACCTGCTGCAGATTTCAGGGATGCATTCAGAATTCAAAGTAAACTATTTCTGCCCCTCTGATAAACCTTTCCGTAAATTTATAGGTAAAAAAAAAACACTAAAAGATGCTATTCTATTAAGCATCAAACTGTAAAGATGTTTGAAAAACGGGTTTAAAGACCAGCAGCAGCAAAGTTTGGTCACAATCAGATCAGAAACTAACCCTACAATCTGGTACTTAAATCTGTTGGAGGAAAAGTAAAAAAAGTCCCATGACTGAGAAAACTACAGGATCCAATGAAATCATTAAAGGGCAGCAGAGTAAAGGTCAAAGGTCAAAGGCTACAACTTCTCCATCAAAACAGTTAATTTTTAATCATAATACATCCATAGAACGTCTAAAATAATGCTGAATAAAAGTAAAAATTTTAGGCAGAAAAAAAACTGTGTATAAATGTTTTATCATTTTCACGGGTCAAAAGTCTATATAAACGTTTAGTTATAGTTAAGATGCAAACGTCAAGTGGAAAAGATTCTGCACCATGTGGAAGCTGCTGGTGAAGATTCTCAATCATCCAGGTCATAGTCATTCTAAAAAAAGTAAAAAAAAAACAATCCACTGGACTTGGTTCCAAGTTTGAAGACGTTTGGCTTCCCATCCCGGAAGCTTTTACTATTCAAAATGTCAGAAATAGTGCTGAGTTCGAGGCTTTATAGAGTAGACCTTTTCTCAGCTTAGAAAACGTGCAAATGTTTGAGACGGGCGTGAAGGAAGCCATCTATGTCAAGAAAGAAAAACCAACCTAAAACAGAGGGGGTGGACTCAGATGTCTGCTCTCAAAAACCTACAATTCAGCGACTGAGTTGATTCCTTCCCTCCATCATCGCAACCCCCCACCCCATACAGCCATACAGGAGAACAAAAGACCTCGTCTGTTAAGCTAGGCCAACAATCCCCTTTAATGACCCCCTTTCAGAGGCATAGACAGGTATCGGGAATTGCACGCTTACAAAAGAAGCCAAACAACCCCCATTCCAAAGGGGCGGACTCATTTGCTTCCTGGATGGGAAGCGAAACGTCTTCAAGATCAGAAACAAAGTCCAGTGGATTTTTTAAACTTTTTTGGGACCAAGAGGAATCTTATGTCGAAGTAAGGGGAGGCGGAGCTCATTACTAGCTCCTAATAGCTCTGTGATGGCTGGGAGGATTAAACCTGTAGCTGTCCCCTTTAATGCTAACAGCAGGAAAAATAATGCAGGTAAATGTTTATATCATTAAATTTATTTAATTCTAACACGGCTTCATACCCTTTTTTTTTATAATCTGAAGCAGCTTTCTACTCATGAAGTTTGAACGACCGTTTTAAAAGACTGAGCTTTTTTGTGTCCCTTCCTGTGTTCCTGCTGGAAGCTTGCAGATAGAAAAGGCCTCCATGACATTAAGCAAACCTGTGAAAATCCCCCCATAACCAGTAAAGGAAACAAAGCACTTCAGCATCACTTCATCAATTTAAAGGTTGTTTATTTTTACACAACCAACGTTTTTATCTAATTAAAACATTACGATTTTTAAAAGGATGAAGGATTTATAACACACAATTTAGTAAATATTAATATCTTAGGTTCCTTATCCCACATTCCTTTAAAAAGAAATCCCACCTTTCAAAGGCTGTGCTCGCGATCATCCACTGCAGCTAATAATAACCGGGGTGTGTTTGTGTGTTTAAGAGGTTGGCATGTGGGAGGGGCGGGATGAGGAAATGGGCGCTGTACCTGACCAGCCAATCACAGGAGCTGAAGGTGACATCATCGGATGAAGGGGAAACACACATTATAGCTGTGCCACTTCAGCAGACTGAAGTGGCACAGCTAGAAGTGACATGCTGTGAGTGTAGAAGGGGTTTATATTGTGTGTGATCGTTTATGCAGGTTTGTTAGGATTAGACCTACAAAATTTGAGAAAAAAAGCAAAGTTACTCTAAAAATGATTAAGAAGTCCTTTCATTCTGTTTTACTTCTAGTTTGCATTTTTTAAAATTCCTTTTACCAAATGTGTTCAACAATAATGAAACAAAATTCCCTCCGTATACATATGGAGTTATTTATATGAATGGAAGTCCTGATAAGGCTTTAAAAACCCAAATGTTTGCATGTGTGAGAGATTAGTTTCTGTTGAGTTTCCTTTTTCTTCTTCATGTGTTTGTGAGACTCTTACGGTCTCCCAGGTCTCCCTGCAGCTGCAGGATCTGAGGCACCGGCATGGTTAGAACAACAGCATCAAACTTCTCACTGCCTCCTTTCCTTTCCACCTCCCATGATGCTCCACGGCGGTACAGGCCAGTCACATGATACTCCAGGAACACATCGGCTCCTGTGGAAACAAATACAGTATCAGCTTTTTACTGGTAACACATGATGTCCAATGAAGTTCAGTTTTATCAGTTTAACCTTAACATGCTTTAGTTCTGCATTTGCAGTGAAAGCACTGATTTTAACCTGGTTCTGATCCAGACATCAGAACACTGAGCACCAGGATTCAGTTCATACAGGGGATCAAGAAAACACCAGCAGCACATACTGCCCTCTTGTGGTCAGAAGAAAGAAAAAGGCCTCAGTATAAAAGGAGAGACCAGCATACAAGAATCTAGTCCATAAACCTGAATTTGACTAAAGATTTTTTATATATTTATGTAAATTACTTTTTCGAAACAGTTAATCAATTAATTCTCCTAGGGTGATGCTTTTCAGCCATTTTTTTCTAAAACCTGGTGAAGCATTTATGACTAGAAAATAATGATGCATTAGCAAACATATGTAAAAAAAACACACAAAACATGGCAACGTGTCATCTTTTGATAAATGAGATGCAGAACCAAAGAGCTAATTGCGGCTCTGCAGAACCCAATCTCCTCCTCTGCAAAGGTCTAACAGACCACCACTTTCAAAGCTCTCAACTTTTCATTTCTATTTCAAAACGTTATCTTGTGCAGTTGAAACAAGTTTTTATTGTTTCACAGGTATTGTTCTTTTCATTAAAGCAAAATGTGATTGAAAAATTCAAGGTTTAATGGAAATTTATATTATAACACATGACTCATTATGAAGGATATCAGTAGAATCGACATGTCAGAATTTCTGAAGATCAGTTATCGGCCATAAAACTAAAATTGGTGCTGAACTAAAACCGTGATCCTATCTTAATGCAACTGAAGCTAACAATGCAACACTTTCATTTTCTATTAATTATTCAAATAAAACTGTAAAGGTAAAGAAATAGATCCAAGAGCAAAATTAGAGACAGTTTCTGTGACTATAAGAAATGTATTTAGTACTAGGTGTTCAGTACAGGGGCCATAACAGGACCAGTTCTTCAGGGGCCCCCCGTCTAGAATGGTCCATGTGCATGAAACATCTAAATTGAAGGTTTACCCTCCCCCTTTTGCAGAAGGGTTCTGTTGGATGGTTCAGAGTAGTAAATATCTTATATTTAACTAAAGTTTAATATAACAGATCAATTATCAGCTTAGATGTTTGCAGCTGATGAAACTGTAACACTGAGCAGTTCTCTCTCTAAACCTTAATATAGAAAAATCCGGATGAACAATCTATTATGAGAAAAAACATTAAAAATTAAGAGTTAAGAAACCTACAAAATAACTTTGAACATATTATGAACCTGAATTATTGGAGCTCAAGGAGAGAAATGACCTTAAAAATACTTGTTGTGAAGAAAATCAACATTAAAGGATGATTTTATTCATTTGCTAAAGGAAGTTTAAGATGCAAATGTCAAGGTGTTTCCTAGTGAACCATTTGCAGAAGTTTTTTGCAGGGATTAGATTAACAGCAGACTTCTAAATGTCCTTTTTATCCATTCACTCAAGATACAACTAACAAGAATATCTGCTATAAAATCTGTGAACCTCGTTGACAACTTCAACACAACTTTAATAAGAAGAAAGATACGTCAAAACTAATAAGTCCAACATGTCACCTTCTGTGGGTCACAGAATTGCAGTTTAATCTGTGAACAAATAACAACAAGGTAGTAAACATATAAGTCCTGCATGACCAAAGGAGGCCACAGAGAAACCAGCCATAATAATGAAGTTTATAAACAAACAAAAAAAAAGTCAAGGAAAATATTAAAGTTTCATAAAAAAAAAAAAAAAAAGTGGAGGTTCCGGTCATCAAAGGCATAAAGGAGCAGGAAAAGCACCAAAGTTGAACCAACATGTTTTGGACTTGATCATCATCTACTTTCAAAGTAGCTGGAGGTTCTCCATCTGATCTGATCATGTTTAGAAGCTTCATTTTCACAGAATCTAAGAGACATTATAAGACAATACATGTAACTGTGTAGATGAGCTGCTAAAAACTAAAAGAGCAATAGAAAAGAAATCTTTCTTCTCTGAAATCATCAGCAAACAGTTTAATGCTCATTTGCCTTGCAGCTTTTCCACTCTATCAGGGTCTGTAATGTATTAACTGATGTCTTACCCAGAAAATCAAATGATCAGAGGGGAAAGTAAGACGTCTCAGTTAGAAACTAATTTGGACAAAATGTCCCAAATCTACCAAATAACCTCCAAAAGCTTTGAGTAAGGTTTTACATCAGCCAGACTCCTTTCGGTTTTTATCAATTTTAATCCAAATGAGCATCTTTTAAAAGAAATTAGCAATACATTAGAAATTTATTTTAAAATTAATCAAAATCCTTCTGCTTTGTCAGCAGGGATCAAAGTTAAATTCCCTATAAAAAAAATCCTCTGCAGCAACAAGCAAAAGAAGCAACTTTCCTTCTTTTAAACTGAGAGGTGCTGTTTGATGTGACATGAAGCCAGTGTTTACTTCCTGGTTCCTCAGCCAATCATCTGAGACTTTGCAGAGTTGCCAAAACAGAGCACAGCACTGGGAAAAAAGAGCAAACATGGAGAGAGGGATCTGGCTGAAGACCTGCACTGTCCAGATCCAGAGCTGCACTGTCGGGACCCAGACCTGCACTGTCAGGACCCAGACCTGCACTGTCAGGACCCAGACCTGC